CCATGTTCCATAAGACCACTGATCCTTTTGCCACAGTCTTCCCGTCTTCCTGAAGATAATTGATCCTTCTGCTACACTTCCCATGTTCTTGAAGATCACTGATCCTTCTGCTACACTCTTCACGTCTTCCTGAAGATAAATTATCCTTCTGCTATACGTCCAATGTTCCAAAAGTTCATTGATCCTTCTGCTACATTTCCCATGTTCCTGAAGATCATCGATCCTTCTGCTACACTCTTCCCGTCTTTCTGAAGATCATTGTGCTCTATGCTACACTCTTCCCGTCTTCCTGAAGATCATTGAGCTCTATGCTACACTCTTCCCGTCTTCCTGAAGATCATTGTGCTCTATGCTACACTCTTCCTGTCTTCCTGAAGATCATTGTGCTCTATGCTACACTCTTCCCGTCTTCCTGAAGATCATTGAGCTCTATGCTACACTCTTCCTGTCTTTCTGAAGATCATTGAGCTCTATGCTACACTCTTCCTGTCTTTCTGAAGATCATTGTGCTCTATGCTACACTCTTCCCGTCTTTCTGAAGATCATTGTGCTCTATGCTACACTCTTCCCGTCTTCCTGAAGATCATTGAGCTCTATGCTACACTCTTCCTGTCTTCCTGAAGATCATTGTGCTCTATGCTACACTCTTCCCGTCTTCCTGAAGATCATTGTGCTCTATGCTACACTCTTCCCGTCTTCCTGAAGATCATTGAGCTCTATGCTACACTCTTCCTGTCTTCCTGAAGATCAGTTTATTACAGAATAGCATTGGTTTTTATACATCGTTCAAGTGCATCCAAATATTTTCTATTCCGTTCCTGGGCCAGGTGTGGCCTAAAGTTAAGCTTGCCGAACTGAATTAGTGGGTTCATGGTTTGCATACCGTTGCCACAAAATCGTTCTCCACACTTTTGGGCTGGGGGTATTTACAAGAGTGACGGCCGAATCCCACTGTTCAATTATAGTTTCCCAAGGGTTAGCGGTGAACGACGTTGACTAGCTACGTTCACTCTAACCTAGGGACGGTTAACGCAGGTCGCCCTCGAGTAGCCGTGCGAGAAATTCAAAAACAAGAAAACTGATAATTTCTTATTAACAATTTTAAAACTAACAGTGGTTTGAGCTGTGATACTGTTGTAGTCTAGGATAGATTGTGCTTTAATTGAGCTGAAAAGTGGGGATGTCTAGTGTAAATACCGTGCGAGATATCCGAGACAAGCATTCTGTTCCAACCAGTTTACTTTTTATCAGCCTTTCTTTTCTATCTTGTTATGATCATTCTATTTGAAATAGCCACAGCGTTAACGTTCTATTAATTTTCACAGTAGTTTTAAAATACCTTAAAAATAAACTTTTTACATCTTGCAAGTAAACTCTCACCTTTGATAGATTGTTAGGCAGAGTACTCATGATGAAATTTAGTCTTCAGGCAGAAGACATCCGAAACGTCGTCCTCTAACACTTGTGTCTCTACAACAGGCAGTTGCCGTCCATTTAAGCAAATTTCACCAAGCTTTCACTTAACATAAAATACCAAAGACTCTGGTTCACTCAATAATGGTCTATTTTCACCACAAAATGGTATAATTGGTTATTCTTACTTTCCACGTGCTTTAAAATATATTTTTTTCTCTCTTTAAATTTATGAGGAAAAGCACTGGATAATATAGTTGAGTAATTCAAGTCTACAAATGAATCGTACCTCGGCTGTACAACTTCTCTTCCAAATGTAAGATAAAAAAATATTCTATTTGTATTTTTGTCTTCTTAGTTTTATCTATGGTCGTACAAGAGTTCTCTAAGTTGCTGTACACAGCGTGGTCACAAGTAAATAGACACCACCTTTTCAGAAAAAAATGAAAATTTTCA